AGGCTGGGCACAGATCTGTTTACCATTGTAAATTTTCATTGGAAATTTTAAACCAGGGGATGACCCCTAGGGGTCTTTCCAATCACGTTTGCATTCCAAAGCATGTCTCAGTAAGCACCCACTGGGTTATCTTGGGAAATGAAAGTATAATTCTTCTAGCTGGATAGAAAAGTGATGAATCGAGCCAGGTATAGTGGTACGCACCTATAATCCCACAACTAGAGAGGCAAAGACAGGAGGATCCCAAGTTTGAGGCCAGCCTAGGCTATGCAGTGAGATTTCAAGGGGGTGGGGGAAGGAGAAGGAGGAGAAAGCAAAAGAGGGGAAGGAGATGAGGAGGGAAGACAGATAAAGATGGTGGATCTAGGGTATAGCTTCTTCCGGGTGAACTGATAACTCTGGGATATATAGTGCCCCCACCCCGTGTGTGTGTGTGTGTGTGTGTGTGTGTGTGTGTGTGTGTCCTCGCACATGCAGGAGAGTGAAAATGGATGTATCCATGTTTCTTTGTTTTGCTTCCTGACTGGCCCCACCAGCCTCGGTGATTGAGGGCTTGGAGCACGTACACCTCCTCACCCAAGCTGAAGGCATCTCTGGTAATGGCATCTGGCCCATATGCAGATCTAGCTCAACTTGGTGCTGACATCAGCCAGTTTGTGGCACCTCAGTGTATTTCTAGGTTGCAAATGAGAGTTTCTTAGTGCCAGGCTCGCTTGGGCTGTCACATCAGGTGATGAATTCTCTGTATCAACGGTGTGCTGCTAAGGCAAGCTCGGAGGAAGAGAGGGAAGGAGAGGAGATGGGACAGGTGCTGCTCAGCCCAGCAGCCTTTGCTTTGTTCTAAAAGGCACCATGAAGTCCTCAACAGTCAGGAAGAGGCAGCTGCCCGTGGCTCCCATTCTGGTTCAAGCAAAGTGGCAGCTAAGAAAGGAGTCAGGGATTTGGTTGTGAGTTTTGCTTTTGTGTTTTTGAAAGGATGAGCCCTGTGAGTTTTCCTGCCTACCACTGCCCGAGTCTTGGCTCAGGAGCTAGCTTCTTTTCCTTCAGATTGCCACACTTGGCCTTGGCCTTTAGATGAGCTTCTAGCAAAATTTGTTACATGTCAGATTATGTGCCAAATTCATTAGAGTAGGCTACAGAGTGAATAGTCATTTTTGTTTCAAACGCTTTGGTTTCGAATATCTTTAATTTGTGTCTAGAAGACCCAGATTTTTCTTATCTTGGAAACATGCTGCATTTAGTTCCAATTTTATATTCTCTTAGCTTTTGCCTCTATAAGGATCTAGGTTGAGCCTGCCCTACTAGCTTTCTTCCAGTGGAATCAAAAGTGGGATTGGGTCTTGCTTCCCAGTGACAGGAACTGGGTACAAATGAAGACTCTTTAAAGAAGAGTGTTTTCTGAAATGAAAAAGACTAGGCAGTTATGCAGATTAACGCCTCCCACCCTTGTAAGCCCTCATGGCTTCGAGATTAGCACTGTGAAGCCTCATCCACTATGAAGAACGGTATGGATCCGAGAGTGAAGGGGGAGGTCGGGGTGCAGAAAAATAGTCATCGTTCTGGCCACCCTCACACAGCTGCTAATGATAGCATCCTTTCCTCTGATGGCGCCCAGGGATAATAAACACACAAAGGCGGGGCTTTCTGTTTAATATTCACCCGCAGTCAAGGAAGGGGGAAAGAATTGTTCCCCAGGGTTAATGTGGCAGTAAGCAAGGTCAGCTGTTTCCCAAGATGGTGCAGCCTCTGAAGCTCTTACGTTAGGCTGGAATGATACCTCGGAAGCCAAAGGGTGATTTACGGGAAAGCCAGTGAAGTCGGGTTTGCTTGCAGTTTCTCGGCTCCAGTTTTCGGCAGCCCTGGGTTTTCCTTTTTAAAAAGCCCTTCCAAAGAAAGGAATTCTCCCTCATTTCCCAGCACCGCACATAATTATTTTACAAAGTGCTTGTGTGTCTAACTTGAACCTCATAAGCTGCAGTATCCTAAATTTGGCAAGAAGCAGGGGTTCATGATTAGGATATCCTGGGTTAGGGTGACCACCAGCTCAAGCCACAGGGCTCTGCTGCACGCAATAGGGGGCTCTTGGGGATACTGTAGGGAGAGTCTTCTGTGCCCTGAGAAGAGTGATCACCAACTCTCAGTGGTGGGTGTGTGTGTGTGTGTTCGTTCTTTGGGCTTCTGGATAGCAGCAGAGGTTTTTAAGAACTAGGGAGATTTGTTGAATGTATTTATTTTTGGTAGAATTTTTATATATTCTTCACTGGCCCATCTAGCTTAATTAGTATGTTAGTTTTGGTATCTGGTTGAACCAACTGTCGTTTATGATCTGTGAGTTCCCTGACATCTTGTATTGGTCTGAGTAAGTAGAAGTTTTAAGAAAACAATTCAAACGTGAGTTCTTTGAGATACTCCAGCTCAGAGATAATTCAAAGAAATGTCTCCCAGAATTCCTGAGCAATATAGAACTCCAACCCTTCCTAACAAATCAGAACTCAGCAAATTTTCTTTACTGCAAATTTCATCCAGGGCCCCATTTATTGTTACTTTAGTGGAACTATAACGTAGTTAAATGATAGTGGTGGTGACAATCTGAGACTCCTCTGTGCCATGTGCTGTGATATGGATGCTAACTGCTTTTCTAGAATTTCCTTATCTGCTTTGCTCGTACCATGTTGATCCTAAGGTGACATTCTTCTCTTTTACTAACCCTCTATTCTGTTTCGTGGCATTGTGCTTAAAGGCCCTTTGTCAAGTTCCCTAAAATTCCATATTGTTCAGCCAGCATATACACCAATGTCTGTCATCCCTCCATGCACACCTCACACACCTGCTTCTCTGTCTATCATCTATCTATCTATCTATCTATCTATCTGTCTGTCTGTCTGTCTGTCTGTCTATCATCAGCTAAACACACACATATAAAAATATTACTAGGATAGACAGATATCAAAGTGCTAACGGTAATTATCTCTGAGTAGTAGATTATGGGTGTTTAATATTTTGCTTTTTAAGCTTGTCTTTTTTCCAAATGTTATTGATAAGCATACCTTATTTTTTCAAGGAAAAAAAGATGAATAGCATTAAAAGATTTTCTTGTAGAAAAAATAAGTGTAACTCTTATTCTCAGTCAGCCTAAAATAACACCAGAATATATGTGTTCTTAGTTGAGAAAGGAAGCAAAGATACTATTTCCCCGTGGCAACCTGTGCTAGAGATTTAAAATAATTCTGTTCCTGATTTGGGTTATGCTACAGAGTCTTTGCCCTTAAAGGCTTTATGTTATGAAAGGATTCTCATTTTGCCCTCACTGTTCTCAGTGAAATGCAAGCAAGGGGAAAAATACTCCAGCACAGCAGTGACAGGAACCACCTGATGGATTAGGAAGCTGGAGGTGGAGCTCAGAGGGATTATTCATGGATCCACAGTTGGGAAGGCATGTTCTTGGCACTGCCTGGGATAAGCCCCTTGGTATCCAGCTCTGCTCCTCAGTAAGGACTAGACAGAATCTATTCTGTGCTCAGATGACTGCTATAAGCTGCCTTGAATGAAGTCTGGCTTTTCCTGGGAAAGCTGGAGCACCATTTGGGTGAGCTAATGACAAAGACAGCCAAGTCTAGCAAAAGGACAGCAAAGGAGCCAGCCTTAAAGGTTAGGAGGTCTGTGTTCTCAGTCACGGGCCTGAAAGCTCTTTTCTTGTACTTCAGCTGCTGTGTGAGATGTGACGTTGTTAGAACGTTCCAAGTACAGGTGCTTACTTCCCCACCCACTGTGGATTTTTTTGTGGTAGAGCAGTGGTCCCTCCAAAATGGGGATAATAGTTCCTGCCCTTCTACCCCAGATTTTTCAAAGAACAAAACTAGAAGACAGACAATAGAAAATATTTTACCAGGATAGATAAGGCCTGGTCCTTTTGACCTTACCATTTCCAGAATTGTGGTAAATTAATTTCAAAGAATGCAGTGGTTGGGCCAGGGGAAGTATTTTAGTGCAATTATTTCAGTGCTTTCAAACATGGAAACTGCGTACCATGACTTCACCATTATAGAAAATTCACTCTTCAGCTCTTCTAGTTCTGGGATTTTTCCTGAAAAGCCTAGCCACTCTGTAAATCCCTTCTGAACTGCTCCTTCATGTAATTGCTTGTGAATCTAGAGCCTAGTACAAATGGCCTCCAAAAACCTCAAGCTTGTGGTTTCCCATCTTGCTACCACTAATAGGCACTCACAGAGGCCCATCCCACAGTGATGGCCCCTATTTTACCCTGTACCCAAATCACCCTCTCAAGGCTTACCTCAAAGATGGCCTCCTCTAAGAAGTACAATAGTTCCTGATGCTCCAACAACACACAGTATTGGCTTCACCAAACCTTCTTAACAACAGGCTCCACTGTGCATTAGAGTGCATTAGACTCTGCCTTGAGTGATCGGTCATCAGGTCATCATGGCTTGTCTTAGCTTCTTCCTTTGAGGACATGAACTCACTCATCATTATAGACCAAAGAGGTTTTAGACTCTGGCATAGAACAGGACCTGGCATCCCATAAATACAGGGCACATGCAGGGCTAGAAAGAACCTCAGAAAGCATCTGGCCACCCTTCTTATTTCTCAGAGGGGAAAACAAAGCCAGCAATGTGAAGGCACTTCGCCATCATCAATGGCTAGCTGTTGCCATGGTCAGAACCAAAACAAAACCCTCAGGTCTCCTGACTGGCAGGACAGCTATCACTCCACTGGTGGCTGAGACTGAATTGAAAAGTCTTGGAGAAATACAAACACATCACACAAGTGGGAGGCGTTAACACTGGATCCAAAGGCTCACTGGGAGAATGAACTCAACTGAGGGTCGGGGGAATATTATCACTCACAATCCTAGGTGCCCATCTGATGGGTGTCCCCATGCCAGGGTCCAGCTCCTTCCACAAGTTGCCTCATTGTCATTGTCTGCTCAAAAGGGCCACCTGATCACAGAGGACTGACTTCTCTCCCTTTTTCCCTTCTAGGCTAATGGAGGTTGGCAGGATGCTACTACCCCTTCATCAGTGACCTCCCCTACAGAAGGCCCTGGCAGTGTTCACTCTGATACCTCCAACTGATCTCCCAGCAATCGCATCCCGGCTGACCCTGTGCCGCAGTTGGGACAGGGGCAGGAGGGAGGGTTTCTCTCCCAACGCTGAAGCGGTCAGACTGGAGGTCGAAGCAATCAGCAAACACAATAAGAGTCTCCTTCTCTTCTCTTCCTTGGGATGCTATTTCAGCCAATCTGGACACTTCTTTATACTCTCTTCCCTTTTTTTTTCTGGGTAGAAGCCACCCTTTCCTGCCTCCAGCTGTCAGCCTGGTTTCTGTCATCTTCCCTGGCCCCTGCTCTCTGTTCTAGACACCTGGGGTTCCTGCCCTCATTATATCACTGAAGGATATTTTCAACCATTAGAGGGATTTCAAAAGAAAAAACAAATTACAAAGAAAACAATAAACGTGTTTGTATGTTTTCATGCTGGTGGTTTGAGGAGCCAAATTTACCTCACTCGAATCCCTCATCCCTACGTTGACAGGCAATCCTTCTGTTTCTCTTGTTGTTCTCACTACCTCTTAGCAGGAATACACCACACTGCCCCACTCATTCCAGGCCACTCTGCCTCCTCTTGCTCCTCCTCCCTGGGAACAATCCTGATTTCTTCCTCTTCTTTCCAACCCCAGGCATTGGTTGGGGACTGCCATAGCTGGGCTTCTAAAGGTGCCATGTTTCTCACTGTAGCTCTACCAGATTGAGTCCCAGGCAGGAAGTCAAGACCGCAGGAAAGGGCACAAGGAACATCAAGGGCAGGATTCCTGCTAGCTTTCTCATCTTCTTCAAAACAGCTCTTGGCTTCAGAGGCTCAGTCTTTTGAGACCACTCAGCACTTGGGTAGCAGCGTTCGGAACCTAATGCAAACCAGGTCTGAGTGAGGCTGCTGCAGAGTGCATCCATAAAGAGTGGATGCTTCTCATCCCCAAAGGCTTCACTATCCCTTCCTACACATGCATGCACATACACGGCACACTGGTAGACACATGCTCAGCCTCACGCCTTTGTTCTTCCAAGATCCCATGTGCAAATGCATATGATACTATCATAGCTCTCTACCTGGTGAACCCTAGAGAAGCAGTATGTACCTGAGGCTTCCAGAAAGAGCCAGTGTGCTCTTACCCCAGGGCATGCACAGGACTTTATCAGGATGAAGGTCAGGTTTCAAGGGTAAACTGTTTCCATTCCCACCATGTCTAGAGCTCTCAGGGAGCCATACACAGGACTTACAATGTCTATGATGGATTTGATTGCTTTACTTTTGTTTTTAATGTTTTTTAATGTTAGGCATGTTGTATTAACTTTCCAAAACATTATATTATACTATGGTCTTGATCCTGGCTTCTTCCTCTAGAAGAGAGAGTGATGAAAGAATGTGGTTCAGGTGAACGTTTTACTAGCTTATTTTACGTGGATAAGAATCATGGAGAAAGGGTAAGAATATTTTTATTGAAATAATCATCCTGATCTGTATTCCCTAGGATTGGGAGAAAATAACATGTAACATGTACCAGAAAGCTAGTCTTGAAAATCACCTGAATTTACATTCTTCCAAGCCACTCTGCCAGCAGTAAAGATGTCAGTTTTGCCCATAGCCTAAGTAGCAGGCAGTCAAATATCTTGGTGCTTCATTTTCTGCATCTATAAACTGGGGATTGTTATTCTTGGCTCACCAAGAGGCTTGTAAGAGACCCAAGAAAACTGGTTGTGTTCATATTTAATCTCTAAGAGTGAAGTTAAGGGAAGCAGTGTCCCTAAGATAAGTTGGTTCATGCTAGGTCAGGACAATAAGTGGTTTTCTTTTTTCTGACTTCTGGTTTTTATCAGTACCTTGATGTTATCACCATGAGTGATTTTTGAGACTTTTTGTTTTGGTTTGGTTTTGGTCTGTTTGTTTTCTTAGGATAGAGAAGAGATTCCAAACTAGAAAAGTAGGACCTGGTTCTGGTAGTTTCTGCTTGAATCCAGTGGGTGTCCTTGCAAGTGCTTGTCCCTTTCACAACTACTCAGCTTCAGGGACCTCCAGGAAGAAGTACAAGATCTTGAGGACTGAGAATGGCCAGCCAACATGGTCAAGCCCATTCTGAAAGGCACTGCATAGTGAATAGGGAACATCCTTCCTGTGTTTGGATGCCACTTAAAAAGCCTGAGGATATGCATATTTGCATGTAATGCAAAAAGGAATCATTTAGCAAATTAAAGTATGCCTGGATGACCAAGGGCACTAGAAAGCCTGTGTCTACTAACCTGGGCGATAGGACAGGGTGCCTAGGAGGAGCATCCTCATGACAACTCTGGAATAATGAGAACCAGTGATCTTTGTCTTAGTGGCAAGAATGCATTGAAGCAACTCACAGAAACCTGATTGGATCCCAGCACTCACTGTGGAGCAAATCATGGGCAGCACTGAAGGGTTCTCTTGGAAACAGGAATGAATCTAGATCTGGGTTGAATGCCATGCTGAGGGAATGGAAAGTATCAAAGTTGCCTTCACACAGGCAGCTTCTCTCCAGACAGTCTTTGCAATGAACACCCCACACAGCACTTCACTAAGTCTCCTTTAGACCCAACGCTTTTCCTGAAGCCTGTCCATGATGCCCACTGTCACCTACAAGATGGCCACCAGGGCTCTGTGTATTAAGCAAGGCTAGAGAATGCTGATGACCTCAGAGTGGGGGTACAAAGAATGTGCCTCTGGAAGCACAGCTCCCTGGAAATTCCTGTTGGGTTAGTCACACAGAACTACCCCCGCAAAATGTGCCCCAGGATCCCTTCATGTTCTAAGGACAAGTGGGAATGCCCCCTTTCTCCATAACAGCAATTTTTCCCCAGAGAAAGGACAGCAGACATGGGGTTGGCCACCTTGTAACTCTTCACCACATCTTCCTCATCCCCTGGAACAGACCCTGGCAGTGCTCGGCCTACTGGCACCTTCTTTCAACTTCTTATTTTGCTGTGGCAGTTGTTATTTGCTGGTTGCCTTTTATCACGCCTATCCGCCCCCTGCCCCTTCCTTTGACTCTTTATTTTTCTGCCCAGAAAAACCTGACTTCGATACCAAAAAAAGATAAAACTACAGAAACTCAAATTTAAAAAAAACTTAGAAAAAATACAAAAAAATACTCAATGATTCTTTCAGCTTTATTAACATTTTCCATCGTTTCTTGCGACTTGTGTCTCGTTCTTTGTAGTATCGATGATGAGCATTTGATAATGAATGTTCTTGTATATTCAGATAAAGGAAAAAAACCAAAAAAGCGGTCTGAATTTAATAGTGTTTATAATAAAAAAAATTTAAAAATGACCCTCATAGCACGCAAAACAGGAAGGGGAGTCTCCCCTTCTCTCTGTGAAAATACACATCATTCCTACATTAGTTTTTAACACCAGACTACCTACGTTCCTCATTTCCCCCATTTTTCTTTTTATTTTCTTGCATTTGTGAATTAGTTCAAGAATGCTAGAAAAGTGTCGTTGTGCACATCCATTTCTTGTTTCACAATGTTTAAAAGTGACGGTAATTCATTTTGTAAACTAAAAAAAAAAGGTTGGAATAGTGAGCCTAATAGTTACAACCTAACATATTATGTTTATTCATTTTGAGACCCGGAAATAAATTCTTTTCTTTATTTCTGCTCTTAAAAATACAAAATAAGCCCCAAGCTTTTTGTGTTATTTTTGGTTTGTTTATTTGAGGGGGGGGTGCTTTTTTCACTGTCAGGATTGTGATCTTGCTGCTTTCACTCTTAACTGTGTATACCAGGTGATGTGAAAAGGGGTCCCTGGCAGAGGAGGCCATTTTCTTGTTCTGCTTAGCTTCAGAGTTCAATTGATGTCAAAAGTAAACACAAAGCCCAGGCCCACTTCTCCTTGCTTCTTTGCATCACAGAGAGTGTGGCACTCAGGTAGACCCTGAAATAGGCAGGGACTTGCTTCTCCCTTAAAACAGTCAAGATCAGTGGGATCACTTACACTGTAGGGAAAGGCTTTGGTCTTTGTTGATTCTGAATGTCACAGTCAAGGGCTTTCTTTCTCCCTATTGATATCAACATTCCCTGAGGCCTCTTCCAAGGAGAAAGGATTTTTCTCCCAGGAGAATCCCAGGAGAGGTGATAGGCATAGAGTATATGCAGAAAGCTGGCCCTAGGTCCACCCGCTTGGGATCCAGTCTTGATTTGGGGAGAAGAGTTGGCAAGGTGTTGAATCAAAGCTGTAGTGTGAATGCTAAGTGGCCACTTTGGACTCACAGATAATACACTTTTTACTCACTTCCCGTTAGATGATGGTTGAAAGCAAATCATAAAGCTGGCTTCATTTGGAATGTTCTTATTAATTATAGGAAAAAAGAAAGCTACATTGCCCAACAGAAACTCAGTGTTAGACACTGCTCATGCAATACATAGGTGTTCAGAAACCAGCCAGAATGTCAACAAAAACCATGAAGAAGGAATACAGAATTGTGGTGCAAAGCCTTAGGGCAGTGTTTCCACCCAGAGGCCCACACTCTTGTTCCAAAGCCAAGACAAAATAATGGCGGCGGCCTTTTCACATCACCTTTATGGTTTCCATCCTAGCTCAAAGCTTCCTGGAAACTTTTATTTTTTGTAAACTTTTTTTTTCTTTTGTTAAAATAAATAAAACATCGAATGTTCCCCCCTTTCTCACTTATTACCTCTTCCCTTTGGCAGTTTCATTTTGAAGTGCTTTCGTTTGGTTGGTGGTTTTATCCTGTCCCCTCCTCCTCCCCTCCTTTTTTCCTTATTATTGAGATTATAAATCTGCAAAGCTCTGCTCTATTTTGGTTTTGAAAGTTTAAGCTTTTCTGCTTCTGTGAGATCACAGGCTTCTGTCCCTTTTGATTCCAACTGAACTTTTGTGTTCTCTAATGATACTAACACGGTGTAGGTTTTACAGTCTCCTAATTTGTACTGGTAATGCATATTCCAAATAAATAGTTTCTTTTGTTGCAAAAATATATACATACACATTTGTATTTTGTGCAAATTTCTTCTCATATGCTGGCAACTTCTCTTCCCTAAACAGGCTTGGGATACTGTGAATGATGGCTTAAATTATTGTCCTGATCGACATTTAAAAGTCTACATACCATGGGACAGTAGCAAAGTATAGGACACTTGAAGGGAGCAAGGGAGAAAGGGAGGAGGGAAAAAAGAAGAAAATGAGAGAGAGAGAGAGAGAGAGAGAGAGAGAGAGAGGAAAATTAATTGTACTGCAGAAGGGCTGAGTCATCTTATCTGCTCCCTAAGTCATGACTATTTTCCCAGTGGGTCATCTTTGCTTTTCCTTATCAGTGGTCTGGTCGTAAGAGAAATTGTGGTCCCCAAGAGATGTTTCAAGGGAAAGAATCTAGGTTATCGATAATACTTGTAGACTCTCTACAATAGTCCAGATGTCACTCCAACAAATCTACTCACCTGCTTTCAGTTGTCTGCCATCCCATGGAAGCCTCCATCCCAATAGTTGGTGTGTATCCATTGGGCCACCGACCATTGCATTGAGGTTACAGCCTGTTACAGAGTTGGTGTTTATAGTGTTTCAGCCACCACACCTTAGGTCAGTGCCCCAGACTTCAACCCATTTTTCAATTCTTTGCATGGGATATAACTTCTTTCCTGGCTATTGACAGGTTGTTCCTCTATTAGCCCTGTTCTAAATGAGTTTTGCTTTCTTATTTTCATGCTTTAACTGTCCTAGGAGGCAGGGAGATCCTATGAGGTATGTTGTTCAGAAACCTGAGGTAGCCACCACATTTTTCTTCACCCCAATCATGATTCAAATCAGCAAAAACTAGACCAAAGAAGCAGAGAGTCAATGGCAATTAAATTTTCATTTTTAATAATGGACAAGCTAATCCAATGACCTTGGAAGCATAAAGCTGTCTGTTAATGATTTGGAAGCCTTGAATAGAAACATAGAACACGTTTTCATGTGCAAGACAGGTGCAGACTGCCTTTTCTGGTTCTTTTCCAATAATACAGAGACTTATGGGCCTAATTCATCCACATAGTACATTCATTAGAGCCATAATAAACTGTAGAAAGGAGTAGACCAAAAGTGTATAATGCCTCAACTACAAATCTATTCCTCACTATTTAATAGGGCAAGACGAATATTCCCAGTCAGAGTCTCCTCCCTACATAAAGACTCGGGGACTCCTATGTGGCTTTACCCATTCAGGAGTATGTCATCTTCCACACCTATAGGAAGGAGTGTGAAGAAGGCTCACCAATTTGTTGAAAGCCTTGACCAAAACTTCCATCCATAATCCTAAATGCAAGGGTTATGGGTGAGAGTGGAGGCTTGGAAAGCTAGTCCCTGGCTAGGTGGCCAATTCCTGACAGCAACTCCATATAATAGCTTTTTGAATGGTTGGCCTAGTGGCCAAGAAAGCAAAAATCAACTCTGCGTGTCTGTGTCACTGACTGGACGCATTTCAAGTGAAGGTGTTTCCAGCCATCATCCCAGACACGCCTTCATTACTCTTCCGTGGGAAAGATTGAGAAAGGGGCCTATCAGGACCCAAAGATGTTCAATGTGAGTTTGCCCTCTGAAGAGAGAGAAAAGAGAAGCCCCTTTTCTATGCAAATGTGAGAGTGAAAGAAAAAAGAAAACCAACAAACACCTTTTCTCCAACTTCCTCCAGTTCGTTTCTAAACTTGGGCATTAGCATCAAGCCTGTGGTGGATAGAGGCAGGAACTGTGAGTACAAATAGCTTTGGGAGGTCACACCTCTGTGTGCATATTGCTGCCTCAAGGGTCATAGATGGTGGCCAGCAGTTACCTCAGAGCATATAGGCGGTGTCTTAGTTCATTCAGGATGCTACAACAAAACATCCTACAGGATACCACTTGTTTATAAATCACAAAAATATATTGCTCATTGTTCTGAAAGGCCAAGGAATTGGCAGATTCAGTCTTGTAGGAGCCTGCTTCTGCTTCTCATGGAGAGCACCTCTGTCCTGACTCCCCCAGGCCTTTTGAGAAAGGCAACATTCAAGTCTTAATCACACTTCAAAGGCCTTACCTCTTAACACCATCATATGGAATATTAGGGTTCAGCATTTGCATGGGGTAGGCACTTAATAAATCACAGCAGGTCTAAATCACAAAATCTGACCTGTTCATTCTCCTAAACCATAGATTCCTATATATCCATATAGATCTCTACCATTGTCTACTTTGGAAAAAGAAACACAGCAAAATATCAATGTTCTGTCTACTTGGCATCAAAATATCTCCTTTCTTGTGCGTTCAAGTCATTGTGTGGCAAGTGGCACAAGAACTCAGTTCTAGAACATGTCCACTGGGTGAGTTGGAGGAGCTTGTGGGTAACCTAGCTCTCTGAACAGAGGACCAGATGGGAAAAAAGGAGGCTGTACTCTGAGGACTTCCCTGTTGTTCCTGCACAGAAGTTAAGACACACGTAGATCAAGAACCAAGTGTAGTAGAGGCCACTGTGCCCAGTGAGATGCAATCTATGACCTCCTACTTTAAGTAGACTTCCATGGCCACCAGAAGTGGTAAATAGAAGTCAAAATGGGTTAGGACATCAGTGTTGCCCAGGACACTGCTTTGAGGAAACTCTATCCTTGTGTATCTCCTGGGACCCAGGCAAGACCCAATTCAGGTTTTGCTCCTAGGAGACTCGGAATAGATTAGATGGAGCCATTCATTAATGTTTAGGTTACACTGTTCCCTCTGCTGAATTCACTCCCTTACCCCTTGCTGTCCAGCCATAGTTTCTAATGTGGTTCAACAGACTTACTAACATGTACTCCATTCATAACATTAAAGGCCCCAAGTACTAGCGTGTATTCAGATATGAATCTCTCATTAATAAGTACCCAGAGAGAAATTAAAGTTCAAAATAAAGTCTTCCTTCCCTTATAAATTAGAATTCAAAGGGATGTTAATCTACAGCTCTGTCTCTCTGATTTCCTGCTGTGCTCATTATGTGTAAGTACGCTCTTATTCCGTTGGCACAGTAGGGTCTAGGGCCTTGTAAGGAGGCAGCAGAGGCTGCATCTGCCAGAACAGGGTAGCTGCTGTGGTCTATCCAAAGCTCAGTTAATCTAACCTTGAGTTCTAGGATAGGATTCCACTTTTTCTAAAAAGCCACATACAAAGCATACGACTGATTTCCTTGGACCAGCCTTATCCACAAAATTAAAACACACAGCAGAGTCCAGGACCTTGAGCAGGGTGCCGTGTGACTATTGCCCATGAATGACCTTGGCAAAGCTTTGATGATTTCATGAGAAAACAAGGAAAATAGAGTGTACATGAAAAAAGTAAAAGTGAAATCTTTCAGTCTTAGGACACTGGTTTGTTGTTAATTGTCATGTTGAGAAAAAGCCACCAACAAGAGGTTAATTTTGCACTCTGCTTCCTATATCCTGAGGGAAACAATCCAATCTACGCATTCTGCCTCCTCTCCCTGAGAATGACCTTTGAAATATTCATGTCTGTGAAAATTTCACAAATGTAAAAACGGGTCCTCTCTAGTCCACAGGCTGACTTGAGGCTTCCTTCTTCCCTGGGCACTCATATACATATCTAAAAGTTGCTTAGTTTCCATTTTCCATTAAGTCCTGCATTCCTGTCTCTGATCCCTTTACCACTGTGCCTCTGCCTCTTCCTTTCCAGCAAGGTATCCAGTTTAAGACCTTTTCTGGACTTTCCCCTTGTCCCAAATAGAGTCATCCTTCAATTCCTGAGCCCAAGTTCTATGGACACCACCCAGCACTGGGCTGTACCCTGACTACACATCCCCATAGTGTCACCCTCCCTCAGCTCTGCAGGCCTGGGCCTGAGTGACTGGGGCTGCTCCTCTGTCCACAGACTCCTTCCTGGCATTTGCCCCTAATGTTTATCTCCTGGTCTCCCCAGCTCCTTTTAGGCAGAGCTGGTAGATTTTAAAATATTCAGGCATTGTCCTTTCCTGAGCTCCATCTCTTCCATCTCTATGTAGAGGCCATTCTCTTTGCTCATGGTTCCAGATACTTGTTTCTCTAACACACTTTCTTAAACTTCATTTTTTAATCTTTTTTTCTAAATTCTGGGTCTGTCCAAAGTCCCTGGTGTCTCAATGAGTCCTGTTCAGCTTTAAGTCTTCAAATTCAATAACACTGTCAATAATACTCCCTGTGCTCTAACAAGCTTCCCTGCAATGGTTTCTTCCCCACCAGGATCCTTCCTAAAGGTCCCATGTCCTGGCTTACATCTTTAGAATCCATGACGTGACTGTTTCTCTACACATAGAAACTGATATGTTCAAATTCACTATTTGTTCTAATTTGGTTCTCCATTGCTATGACAAAATACTCTGACCAATAACAACTTGGGGAGAAAAGAGTTTATTCAGCTTAATTTCCTGGGTCACAGTTCATCAGGGAACCCAAGGTAGGAACTAAAGGCAATAACCTAGAGATAGAAATTGGACCACAGGCCATGGAGGAACACTGCTTACTGGTTTGCTCCTCTGGCCCTCACTCAACCTGTTTTCTTATACAATGTATGCCCTGCCCACCTGCCCAGGGGTGGCATCACCCACAGTGGGCTGGGCCCTCCCACATCACTCAATAATCAAAAAAATGCCCTACAGACATGGCCACATGCCAGTCCAATGGAGGCAATTCCCCAGTTGAGGCTTCCTCAACCCAGGTGTGTCAGGTTGACACTAAAGCTGTCCAGCACACTATTTTGAAGTGTTTTACCATGCTCTTCCTGATTTATTGCTGTCAAAATTGCCCATGTTTTGGGGATCTCCAAGGGAGCCTTTCTGAGTATTTCATGAGAACTCTGGTTGTGCTCACCACTGCTTCCTAGTTGCTGCTTTGGTGCTTTCTGGCTTTCTAGATACCTTCTTGCATGGTCTACATGCAATTTACTCACTGAGTTCCTAATAGCCAGATCACACTGCCTTAAGTACCAGCTCTAATGACACCATTCCTAACAC